GAAGGCAGTCGCCCAACCGAGCCACCCAGGCGCCCCCCTTTTTTTTTTTTTTTAAAGATTTTATTTATTTGACAGAGAGAGACAAAGCAAGAGAATGAACACAAGCAGGGGGAAGGGGGGAGGGAGAAGCAGGCTTCCCACCGAGCAGGGAACCCAATGCGGGGCTTGATCCCAGGACCCTGGGATCATGACCTGAGCCGAAGGCAGACGCTTAACTGACTGAGCCACCCAGGCACCCCTCTTTTTTAAAATTCTTTATTTAAATTCAACTTAGTTAAATATACTGTATTACTGGTTTCAGAGGTAGAATTTAGTGATTCATCAGTTACATATAACACCCAGGGCTCATTACATCATGTGCCCTCCTTAATGTCCATCACCCAGTTACCCCACCCCCCACCCACCTCAACATCTCTTTATTGAATGCTTCCAGGGTTACACAGCAAAGAAAATGTATTTATACAATAAATTTATTTTAATAATGATGTTAAACTCTCTTTTCTGGAACTAAGCAAAATTTGACTTTTAGATATTTTAAATACCAAGTTAGACCATGTAAAAATTACTCCCCCCACCCTTTTTCTTTTAACCAAGTATAAAAAGAAAAAAACCAGCTGATTTACCTGATCATTCTGGACTGAAACTGGGAAATTGAGTAAGAGCCGGAGTTTTGCATTGCAACCTGAGTGGACATCGCAAACCTCCAGCCTCTGAAAATTAAGACAATTATAAAATGTACTATGTTGATGATGAACACATACAGGCATGACTGACTATGCATTTACTCATCACTATAAAGAGGAAGCAACTGTTGGTGTTCAGGGGGAGCCTAGTTCTCAGGATTAGCACCCTACTTGGGGTGTATCATACTTATGGATGTTTTAGCAATTACACAGGCCCATGACAGTACCATCTACAGCTGGAAGGAACTACAACCCCTCCGTTTACAGTTTAAGAACTTAAAATACAGACATTCTGAAAGTACTAAGTGGAGTGGGTTCTGTATTTCATAGTTTAGTCCCTGATCACTACTAAACAAAACCAAAACCAAAAAACCACCAGCTCAAATGGGGGTGGGGTGGGTGGGAGATACACGTGATACGTGTGTATCAACAAGATATCCACATGTTGTAGATATTCAACAAGAAATGCAAACAAAATGCAGCATTATGTATCTCATGGGAAACACTATGAAACTATGAGCCACATGAATAACATCATGAAAGAATTTTAAAAACATACCTCAATTTTTAAAATCTTATCTTTAGTAAATTATCACACAAGGCAATGAAAACCCTTTTAAAAGCAAACAAGTATTTTGTGACAGAGAAATGTTATTAAGTCATTCTGTGAATCGTTAGGTGGCTTCATAGCAAAGCACCAAATAATCTACTGAGAAATTCCAAAATGCGAAATCATATTCTTTAAATTTTCACCTGCTGGCTTATGACTGCACTAATATTTTTAATTCTTCTAAAACACATAGAAATTTACATCTATAATAATGTAAATTTATAATCACAGAGAAGCTTCTTTTAATGTCAAACCACGTTAAAGAATCTAAAAGAATCAGAACACTTATTTTCTTCACTTATTTCTTTCATAACGTATCTATGAATAATAGGAATTACTTTGTAAAATATTAACCTATTCTGTACTCACCAGCAAGAAATAAAATAGCCCCAAACCCATGGGTTTAAAAAATACAATAAACCAACAGGAGTCAGCTACTAAGACTACTACAGCCTGATGTCGTTTCGTTTGCTTACCGGTCAGCTATGGCTTTGGCCATAAAGTAATCTTCAGCAATGTACTGAGCAAAAGCTATAAGCCCTCCTGCTTGATCTAACACATCCTTTCTCATTAAACAAGACATTCCCGTCACACATTTGAAACCAGTTACATTGGCAGAGATATATGACCTTGGATGAGAAGTTCCAAAATATACCTGCCAAAACAAAAGAACATTTATGTATAATTAGAATGTTATGTTAAAAGTATGGTATTTATAAACACTTTTTTTTTCCTAATGAACCTCCTTTAAGTATGACTGAGTATCTTATTATTCTTATATAATTACCTGAATAAAAGTTATTACAAAATAACGTTTACATGTAGCGGGCAATCAGTAATTTCTTATTTGATTGACTATTCTATTTTTTTTTTTCAAGATTTATTTATTTTAGAGAGAGCGAGAGAGAGAGCACGTGAGCAGGGGGCAGGGGCAGAGGGAAAGAGACTCTCAAGCGGACTTTGCACTGAGCGAGGAGCCCAATGTGGGGCTCGATCCCACGACCATGAGATCATGACCTGAGCCGAAACCAAGAGTCAGACACTCAACCAACTGTGCCACCCAGATGCCCCTAGGTTGACTATTCTTGTTACCACTATTACAAAGAAAAATGTACTTCTGGGAAAAAAAAGTGTATTCTATTCTCAGATAAATATTGTGTTCCATAAAGCTGCAAGATTCAAAGATTTATCCAAATAAAACATAACTGGGATATAAAATAAATTAGGTAAAAATATCATGCACTGACATGTCAAATATTAACAAATATTTTATATAGCCTACTATCAAATGTTCGTGTAATGACACACACACACACCTACATATACAAGTGTATGTACGTGAATGTACATGTGTACTCACACATGCATACATACAAACACCACCCATAGGTGTATCAACCTACAGGACAATCCTATTTTAATTCCTTTCATAGCTAGCCGCTTCCTGCCCAAGTCACTGAGCTTCTTCCCCGAGTTCCCCAATGTTATTTTTCAATGTATTTTTCATAAAGAGGGTAGATACTAAAATTCTCCCATTTTACTGCCCCTTTCCCTAGATATGCTTTGAAGTCATGAGCTATGCAAGTTGCTAAATTAGTGGTAGAATAAAATGGTCATCACCCTATTAGACATAAAACATTATTATTTACATCTGAGATATGCTGCCTTTTCCAATTAGCTTGAGAGGAGAACGGTGATTTTTCTCAATGGCAGGAGTTATGCACACAGCGTGGAACAAGAGAACTATCAGGGGTGATGAAGAAGATGATTCTTGATACCTACCCTATGTCCAGACTTCAATGAAGCTTTGATGTTTGTGGGACTGAACTGAACCAAATATATAAGACCAGAAGCACACATCTTAATTCCTTAAGCAGTTATTATGTGGGGCTTTAAGAATGAGGTGTAAATAGGGACTATGTCAACGGCTCCCAGGATTTCTTTACAGACTTGAAACAATCCCTCTATTTCCATTCACTCTAAGTACGGCAAAAGGGGCCTTTACGGATTAAATTTAACCTAAGGGACTGACCGTGATCTAGGAGATGTGGTATATATACCACTGCCATATACATCAACTTGGATATTTCTAAAACAAAAATACAATGTGGCATATAAGAATAAAAAGTATTTTATTTTAAAGTAGCGGCTCAGAGTTTCTCTTAAGAAACAAAAACTCCACTATTTAAAGATTTAACAATTTCTTGCAATAGGACAAATATATTCATAGGCAATATTAAGAGCTCATAGCTCAAATTGCCAAAGGTTAAATTCCACTCACAATGTACCTTTACCCCCTTAGATCTGTGGTAATCACAAGACTGAAATACAAAATAATATAAGTGCAGATATGCTTAAAAGCAATTTGATATATTTAGAAGACTACAACCGTATATCCTTCCCTGATGACATTAAGGCAAGTTTTTCTTCCCAAATGTGTAACAGCACAGGAATGGTTAAATCAGGTATAGAACATACATATGATAGACTGTGACACAGCCCATAAAAATTAATAACTTTCTAAAAAGTTATTAATGATATGGAGAAAAGCTAATGAAGTGACAAAAGTCAACTTATTTTTTAAAAGCACATAGAAAAAAACAGAAACTTCCTCTAATAGGTAGGGTTATGGGTTGTTTTTTATTTTTGCTTCTTTTATTTTTCCAAAATTTATAGTTTATATTTCTGTTATAGGGTGAAGAGAAAAAAAAAAGGAAAACCCAAAGTAAGTTTCTCAGGTAACTTTTAGAAATCTGTTTTTAAAGGAAATCAAACAGGGGTGCCTGGGTGGCTCAGTTGGTTAAGCGCCTGTCTTTGGTTCAGATCATGACCTCGGGGTCCTGGGATCAAGGGTCCCCCCCATGTCAGGCTTTCCTGCTCAGCGGGGAGTCTGCTTCTCCCTCTTTCTCTCCCTCTGCGCCCCGCCCCCAGCCAAGCTCCAGAACGCTCTCCCCTCTCAAAAAAAAAAAAAAAAAAACTTTAAAAAAAGTAGGACATCAAATGGATTTTATAATGATTTGTATGAATAATTTTCCCTTTTTTGTATATTTAAAATACTCTGGGGATGCCTGGGTGGCTCACTTGGTTGAGCATCTGCCTTCGGCTCAGGTCATGATCCCAGCGTCCTGGGATCGAGTCCTGCATCAGGCTCCCTGCTCAGCGGGCAGCCTGTTTCTTCCTCTGCCTGCCGTTCCCCCTGCTTGTGCACTCTCTCTCTCTGACAAATAAATAAAATCTTTAAAAACTAAAATATTCTGTGATATTTAAAAAAGATTCTTTTCAGACTGGATCTCTGAAAGAATTATATGCCATGTGCTTTTATGTAAATCAGTAGTCTAGAACCTAACTCTAGATCTGAGAGCGAGAGCCCTAAGGAGAAAGAATACACTCTGTTCAGCTGGTGATGAGACCGTAAGAGGTTTCCTGTGCACATTCCTTCTCTGCCAGAGGGCAGTTAAGTTCAGCTGTGAGTGATTCCAGGGGCCCAAAAATGTCTTCACTAATAAAACAACTACTCTCATCTTGAGGATGTCAGTACCTAGCAGGTTAAAACAGACTTAATCACAGTTAACTTCGGGTAGCTCATCCCAACTCTCAGACTTAAACTAGTCTCAGGTTTCTGGTAGATGAGGGATGTGACAATAGGAATATTACATATGACCACCATACTTACCTGTTCTAATGTGGCGGCAAAGCCCTGTCTGTCTGCTACATAAGGCAGACCATGAACCAGGCCTACTTTCTCTGTCATTTGGTTAACCATGTCAGTGAGTGTGTCTGGAATTACTACAATGAAAAAAACAAAAAGGTGGCAAGGGAGAGAGAGAAAAAAAATTATTTTTAGTAAAGTGCCCACTAATGTGAAACATATTTTGTGAGCTATTATCCTTTTTTTATATTTGGATCTAATAGAATCATTCTCAATCACTTTTCTAAATAGAATACACATCTCAAAAAAGGCATAATACATGATAAGCTAATTTACACGATACATTTTCAGGCTAATAAATACCTAACATGTACCAGAGACAGGATATACCTTGAAAATGTTACTCTCCCTGTTTCAGAACCTCCAAACTGGACTAGAGACAGTATGTCCTAAAAGAAAAGGTACAGGAGCAGAGCTCTAAAGGACCTCGGTCCTTATGTTGGTTCCCGCATTCTCTAACTATAGGAAATCAGCTTCCACTTTCTTAGAGGGTATGAGATATCCTATCTCCTAAAACCGCTAATGCTAATGCGAACTGAATGGGATGATACTTGACAGAGATGTGTACATGTTATGAAAACGTAACAAATATTTGAGAAAAACAACTGAACATAGCAAACACGAAGAATGAACATAATCTCTGACCACGAACTGAGAGATCTGTAATGATCCTGATTAATTAGGCATGCCACACTTCTATTAGTTTCAAATCTGCATTTTAAGCTAATAAAAAAATTTAAATCATTGTCCCCTCTTCAAACAGCAAACATCTCATATCTTTTTACATGACTTTATTTTTATTTCCTTCAAGTCTTACGAACGAAATCTACTCTATAAAGTGTACTTGGACCTTAAATACAGTGGTTCTCAACTGCTGCCCTGCAGGGGACATTTTGCAACGTCTAGAGACAGTTTTTGGTTGTCACAACCAAGAAAGAGGTGCTACAGGCATTCAGTGTGTAGAGGCCCGGGATACTCGCTAACCATCCCACAGGGCAGCCTCAGCAACAAAGAGCTATCCAGTCCAAAATGCTAAGGTCGAGAAACTTGTGGTAATTAGATATAAATAGTTAAAAATGCAAAACTGCAAATTATAATTTCAGTATATAAACGCCTTCCTACCAAAATAAGCCATGTATGTATTTTGGTAATACATTCACCTATTAATTTTTGTGAACTACATTTTGTGTGAGATAGTATATTGTTGGTGTCACAAACAGATCATGAACAAGGGAAAATTTACAACTATGAAAAATCTTATATAAGGGGCTGTAAAATGGACCATGACTATCTTTTTCTTAATAGCTGGAATTTTCTCTTTAAAGCAAAAATATTTTTATACATGTAACATTCTAGGTTAGCATTACAAAATTCCAAATCTTAACTTGACATTTTACCATGAAATAAGATGAAATAAATTACTTTGTTAGGCAAATAAAAAGGACTGACAAATATATTCTCAGACTGCTTTTGGCATTTTACCATCAAATGGATAGTTTTGTGAAATAAATAAAAAGAAGCTCACCTCTTATTCCACTATCACAAATCCATATCAGATCATACTTTGCAACTTCATATCCTGGCATTAAATTATTAATTTTAGGATTAATGCCAACTTTTTTGCCACCTAAAAATGTAGAGGTGCAACAGTGAAAAAGATTCATGCAATACTGAAAATATTTTCTATAATACAGATATAGGGTAGAGAGAAGTGAAAAGTACTTTCATACATAATAATTTAAACAAACATACTCTATCATTATGCTTAACATTCCTTATTCATAACATTTAGAAAGAAATTGTTCATTCTCAAAGAGAATTAATTTCTTTGAAAACATTATTTTCAGTTTTTTAATTCTTAAATGCATCAGTAGTAAGTATGAATCAATGTTTAATGGCAAATATCTCTCTACAAGTCTTCAGAATAAGCCTATAGGCTTTTGAAAAACATTTTTAAAAAAAAATATATATTCTTTTTGCAATATCATAAGAGCAAATTCTATCGATCACTCCCAATTACAGTGAATGCGATATAGAAAAGCCCACAGATTGAAAATATTAAAGAAACAAAAAAACAGACTCTCATGTCTGATTGAGAAAACAGGGTAATGGGGGGGGAGGGAGTAGGGGTTTTTTGTTGTTATTTTCTTAATCCCAGATATGAAAAAACCTGTGTTTTTAGAACTTAAGTTTTCTCAAAAGGATATAAACATATCCTATCACTACTCCAACATGCATAAAGCAAACACGCTAATAACTTCACTCTAGTTTAATACAAAGATTGCTGATACTTAATATTATTAAAGCAAAAGGGTTATTGCAGAAGTAAGTTGTTACCTACCAATAAACAATCTAGCATCAACATTTGGGTATTTTCCAAGAAGCTTCTTACATACATCAATGGCTGGATCATCATGATCTTGTACACAAAGGAGGACTTCATACTAGTCAAAGAACACATTTTATGTAAATTAATCTCTTACAAAAATAAGCACATTATTAGTATTTGCTGACTGATAAAAAGGCGTTAGGAAAAACAAGCAATTGTACACACACAGTTTAAAAGTTAAGAGAGTACTCATAATGGATGCAAACACTTATGATATCAAGTGTTGCTTTAATTGAGAGCAGCTTCTCCCTGAACAGGGGCCTATTTGCAAGCAGAAGAGATCATGAAGGGCCTGGCAGCCCTCACAGCTGAGGGCCATTCCCAGATAGGCATGACCTGGTAATTAAACTGGATCTCAAGCTTCTCTGTGGCTCCGAAGCTTTACCAAATACTCACAGGGTGCCCAGCAGTGTAAACACAACATAGAAAGCAAAATAAACACCCCCTCTGTTCTCTAGAAGCTTGGTCTCTGAATTTATCATTTCATGAAGGTGCTATCAATTACATATCAACTCCCCTTATGATCAATTTAAAGCACTTTCCCAAACTCTTCGCATGAAAAGGACAAAGGGAGTTCAGATTTTTGCTGTATAGTAATTTCTGAAATAAAATAGAATTTGACTAAAAATCTATCATCCTGAAAAGCACGGTTAGCCTTTTAACAATGAAAATACCCAGGGTTCTATTCTGCTCAGTAGGTTAGGAAGTCATTTCTTTGCACTTGACTGGTTTGGTCCGTTACCCTGGGATATTTATTTAAAGAAGAGAATACTAGGCCCCACTCTGACTTTTGAATTAGAACTCACGGGGTGATTCTGACATGTAACCAGGTTTATAAAATCTTGAGCTAAACTTTAAGTTACCAATTAGTAAACTACTAAATTTTTAAAAAGTATCTGCTTTCACATACAAAGATGCTACTTCAATATTTTATGGGGTATTCTAAGTAGTAATTTTTTTTTTCCAGAAGTGCTGCTCAATTCATGCTGACTCTGCAACAAATTTCCTACCAATCTTTTTCTAAAATGGGGTTGGCATTTTTAAGCAAAGGAGGGAGGTTAATTATGTCCACGAAAAAAATAACAAATCCATGGGTCCTAAAAAATAAAAAGAACTAAAGACATAACTTTTTAAGTGTCTAACATACAGGGACTAGCCCAGGTAAAGGGGAAACTCAGCAAAAACTGGCAATATGGAAATTGGTGGCTGAGTATGAAAAGGGGCCAGGACTAAGGTCAAAGAAGGAGGTAATACGATTTTTTAAGTGCAAAAAAAAAAAAAAAAATGTTTTCTCAATAATTAAGTAGAGGGGAAAACAATGTATACTTCCCTCATACTTTCCACCTATTATTAGCATACATTCTATCAACTATCTACCTTTAATAATGACTGACCAAAATTGCCACTCAGGAGGTATCGAAACCAACTTTACAACTACCCAGTCTTCAGGGACCAGATAAAAATCGGAGGACGGGAAGGACACCACTCTGGCCCACACCCTTGAATTTCCCAAAGGGTTGACTCTTAAGTCCTATAAAGCATCAGTCATCCTCGCAACCTGACTCTCAAAACAATGTTTGGCTGAACCAGCCAAAAGGCACTGACCTTAACAATGAAGATCAGAAAGATTAAGTGACCTTCCAAAGGGTAAAAGTAACAATTGGCTTCCCTACTAGAGCAAGCTGTTCAGCCAGGCCTGCGGTAAAGAATTCCTTGTTTTTCCAAACACCGCATGGTTTCTTTAATGCTTTTATAATTTATGCTGTTTTGCAGGTATGACCGAATACAGTGAAAGGGATATTCATAAGTGATATAATTCCATAAAATATAATGAAAAAACTTTGTAAAATATATGTTCTAGAAATGATTTCAAAGGAGGCAGAGTTTACCTTTCTTCAAATGCAAGATTTAAAATTTTTATTTTAGGGGCACCTGGGTGGCTCAGTCAGTTGTGTTCAACTCTTGATTTCGGCTCAGGTCATGCTCTCAGGGTCCTGAGAGCTGGAGTTCCACATGGGGCTCCCTGCTCAGCAGGGAGTCCGCTTGAGATTTTCTCTCTCTCCCTCTGCCCCTCCCCCCGCTTGTACTCTCTAAAATAAATACTTCAAAAAATTAAAGTTTTTATTTTTATTGACTATACCTCTTAAACTTAATTTTAAACAAAAATCAAAAACCTCCTGATTAGCCAGGGTACAAATAAAACTCAATTCACATTATCTAAAAAACGTTAAGACTCTTATTAAAAAACACATAACTTTTGCTTGTTTCTGAAATTGAAAATGAAAATCATACCAAATAGGAGGTAAGCATTTCACGTATTTCCTAAAGTATGAGATTTTAACCAGGTGTTCGTTTTTTAGCTGTGATAATCACCTGTGTCTTCAGTTTGATCAAACATTTTATTTGCTAGGAATCTCTATTAGAATAGTTAAGTCACTCCAACTACCCTGCAACTGGCAAAACACAACATTATCAAATTGGTTAAAGGCTTTCTTAGTTAATACAAAAAAAAATTTCTGAAATGTTTTTAAAGACTGTGTTTATTTACTTATTTAGACAGAGAGTGCATTAGTTGGCAGGGGGCGGGGGCAGAGGAACAGAGGGAGAGGGACAAGCGGACTCTGCGCAGAGCCCAATGTGGGCTGGATCTCACGACCCTGAGATCATGACCTGAGCTGAAATCAAGAGGTGGAGGCTTAACTGACTGAGCCACCGAGGTGCCCCTGGATATTTTTATATTATCTTAAGGATCGGACATAAGTATATATGTTCAAAAACATAATGTTTATTAAAAATATTACACTTTAAAAATATTTCAAGATAACATTTACTTTATAAATCTGAAAGGGCTACAAGATATAGTGAATTCCATTATAAATCGGTGTATTATGAATACATAAAGTCTAGAAATAAACCCCAGAGTAGTTTAGATAAGAAGGTTAGTGTTCCACAACTCTTTGGTAAGGTTACTATACAAATAGCTAAACTGGCTAATTGTCCCTTTTTCTTTTCAAACAGTGCAATGACTGAAAGGCTGAGAACAAGAGAGGTGTAGGAAATCCACAAACTGAGATTCAGCCCTTTGATATTTAAGAACTGAATATCTGAAACAGCAATAATCATGAATGCTACTTTTCAGTTTTTACAAATAAATTCAGATGCATACATAATATTAGATTTAGGTATATAAATAACATTAGAAAAACCTCACTGATAAACTTTGCACTATAGCAAACAAAATAAAACATCCTCTTAAAATGGAAAACTGTTTTAATGATATTAATCAATCATATTGCATATCAAGTAGAAATATCTTGAACTATTCTATAAATAACTACACATTTTTACAGAAAAATTTTATGATGATATTTGGATGACAGCAGAATATGAATTTTCTATAACAGAACAGATTTAAACCGCAAATGCCTAGAACATTCTCTGGCATGGAGTGATTAATACACTTGTTAAGTTAATGCATTTATCCTTAGGATAACTTCTGAGTGAAAGACAGATGCCAGGAAGGAGATGTTTCATAAGAACACAGCTCTGAATTCAAAGTTTGGACAAGTAATATTACATACTTTTCTATTTTCAAGAAATTGTCTATACAGTTTTCCAAATTTACTTGGCAAATTCCTATCTTGCAGATTCACCACATATATTGTGCTTGGTCTTTTGATAATGGATTCGATTTTCTGTCTTCTCTAATTCTTTGTTTAGATCCTGTTAAGGGTAACTACACTACCAGCAAGAAAGAGTCCAAACATGGCACCGGACTTGTAACATTTTAAACCAATTCTGTATTTGCAAAAAAGACAAAAAACCCACCATTATTACCACAGCCTCACTCTGGTAATAACTCTGATCATTTAATTTAAAAACTCTTCATAGGGCGCATGGGTGGCTCA